TTTATGTATATATGTATGTATATATATGTATTTATATATTTATGCATATATATGTGTAGATATACATGTCTACAGCATGTGTACATATATATATTTGTATATCTACAGTACTTGTACATATATGTGTACAGTTTGTGTACATATATGTGTGTGTGTGTGTGAAGCTTTTTATCGCCCTGTACTTCATGAACCGTCGAGACTCTGTTTCTTTTGTCTCAGCTACAGATGTAGAAGCCGGTCCTCAGGGTTTCAGGTTACAGAGCAGGGAGCATTTCCAGATCTTTTTCAGCCGAGTGTGAATCCTCAGTCAGGTTGTGCAATCACCCGGTGACAAGTCCCATTCCTGTTTTTCCTGCCGGGTTGTAGTGAATGTTTGGCCTGGCCCTTAAAGAGTTCACACACATGCCATCTCAACACACACACACACACCTAGATTGTTTCTGTTACACACCCACATCTTTGAAAGCATAAAAACGGGTTCAAGTACTCCAGAAATCTGGTAGTGTGAACAGTAGCTTTGTTAGCGTTGGTGGAGTGTGTGCTTCCCCTGATTGTTGTTACATGAGAACCTGGGAAAATAAAGCATCATCCACTGATTGGCATAATGTCAGTGTTGAAACACTCCACTTAAAGTGGCAGCGGCAGCGTCTGTTGCTCACCTTGTGGATCTGTGGGGATACTGATCGTATGGACTGGAATTTTGACTGCTGGAAATTCCAGTCCCCGCCCCGGTGTTTTGTTCTGGACCAACAGAGAGGTCATATATGGCACCTAAGGACATTGTTTTTATTTTATTTACTTCTTCTCATTTTATGTTAGTATATTTGTTTTACAAAATGTCGCTTTACTGACAGAAACTACTCTAAGTGAGTTAACAACAAACCATTCATACTGTTGTGAAGTGATTGGTTGGACCAATGAGGGTGGCCCTGTCGACACAGGACTTCATGTTGATGTTAGAAAGTTGGGAGGGAAATGTAAAGACAAGTATTTTCAAACACACAACAGCACATGTGGGTCATGGCTGTCGTTTCACTGAAAAACCATTCATAAAGAGCACATGTGTCAAACTGAAGGCTCGCGGACCAAATCTGGCCCATCGCATTACGTTATGAGACCCATCAAACGTCAAGTGTGTGGTTGTCTTTAGGTCTGTACTAATGTGTACTTAGGTTAAATGGTCAAATACTGTCCCTGTGTAACATATGTGTAGCAGGTAGCAATTTTACTTCTCTAAGTCCAATTCTAATCTAATGTAGCGGTTAGCATAAACTTCATTTACATTCTATTCTGTTATTTTATTTATTTATTTATTTATTGGAATGAGGAACAAGGGATTTGCTGTACTGTCATCATCAACACTAAGTACTATCATAATCACTACCCCCCCACCCTGTCTTTAATAAAGAGGTTGTGAAATGTATTTATGCCCTGACCCCAGCTAAATTCTGAAAGAAAAAAAACAGATTACCAGCACCACCTGGAGGAGTTTGAAGGAAAAACATGTTTGGTTGACTTGTCTGAAACTTACCACATGCTGCAGTTGGAACTGTCTCCTCTTTTGTATGCAGAGTTAGTTATTATATCTAGTAGGTGTTGAAATCGCTCGCTAAGTACTGTTCCGTTAAAGTACTTGGAAGTACCATTTGTGAACATGCAGGAAATTTTTTATTTTGTTATCTGTAAATCGTGCATCAGTTAGTTTGGAGCTTTGCAGCCGGTGTTTGAAGCACTCTGTAAGGAAGCCTCACTGCACAGGCCTCTGGGTAATGGGCTGGTTTGTGGTCAGAGCTAGAGCGAGGTCGCGATCTTCATGTGGGGAGGAAATAGGACTGTGGGGGAACTTCCACTTTCCTTCCTTTAATTGCCCTCATAATGCTGCCTCGTCTGATGAGGAAGTGTTGGGTTGAGAGCAGCTTGGACGGAGACATCCAGAAAGTGGAGGAGAGAACGAGGCCCCCGAGTACAGACCTACGGTGAGCAGCTCCACCTGAAGGAAAAAAAAAGAAAGAAACAGTGCAAAAGTCAGAGGGAGGAAAAAAGAGTCAGAGAAAAGGAAAAAAAATCAACAAGACCAAGTCGGAAAAGTAACCAAGAAAGCGTGTCAACACACAGAGTTGATGGTTCTTGGAAACACACACACACAGAGAGACACAGAGGGAAGCACTGAAGCACAAGCTGAGAGAGAAGTCATGAGGGAGAGAGGAAATGCATCTGGTAGAGAAGAAAGAGAACGTGACAGAAAAAGAGAAAGTGGAGCTTTGTAGAGCAGAGCACACCTGCTGA